GCCAAAGTACATGATAATTCTAGAAACGTTGCGTCACAGTAGTCATGTGACTCGATGACGCAACAATATTTTAACAATTAAAAGAACTCTCTAGCTTGCACTAAAATATTAAACTCTCATAATAAGCTTATGACATATTCCTATTGTTATAGGCGTACATTAGTTTTATAATTTTTTGTTTATTTCTGAATGTAGGCCTACCAATGAAGATAGCCCGTATAGCAAAGGATATTGAAGAAATAAATTAATTCATTATCATTATACTGTTATATGATTTTAATTAATAAATACTTTTGTTGTTAAAATTATATTACAGTCTTATTGCGTTGTAATGTCATAACCATTATATTTTAAGAAATATGCTCCCCATTCGCTCAGCGGTAAGTCTGAGAACTCATTATGCCAAAAGTCAGTTTCGATATCTGTATTTGACAGAATACAGATAACTCATTGTATTTAACAACAAACAATTTGCCTAGCATTTGTCGGCAGCGCTGTACAATACATAAGGCACCGCCTACAAGTACCAGAGAATTATCAAATCGGTAGTGTTACAAACTTACAGCATAAAGTTGTAATGTACTATCAAACTTGTTATCCAGTAAGGAATCATATGTCACGAACTTAAAATAATGTTTCTCAGTTTCTTAACTTTTATCACATACAGAATCTAAAAGTGGGCATCCTTCTGAAATTATTTATCTAATCACAACAATAACAACAAATATTAAATCAACAAGACCTTGGCTATTAAACATGGTATTTCTAGTTGTTTTTCTAAAACAAAAGAAAACATTATAAGTTTAGCTATTTATTTTTAACGACAAAATGTAATGTTTATGATTTGTTTTCGTTAAAGCTAATTTATATATATATATATATATAATATTAACCAAGTGTTGGTTATAACTGTTACAACTAGCGTCATTCCTAAAATGGCGTCATCCATAAAATCTAGTAACAGGAAGGGGAAAACAGATGAAGTAATACAGCAAGAAGATATTATCCAAGCCGTTGTCATTGCGGATAGTTTCAATAAGAGATTTGCTCCATTAACAGTTTGTAAGCCAAAGGTAGGTATGTAATAATACTTGAAAAATGATACAAGATATTATAAAAAATTATTTCTCAAGAACCTAACACTAACAGTAGTACTAGCACAGTAGCAGACAGCGTTTAGCCTAGTACTAGTAGTACAAGATATCACTGCAGTGTTTTCCAAACTTTAATTAAATAGCGGTGCCTCTCTAACCCAGGGAAGTTCCGTCGCTCCACCCCTTCACATTAAAATAATTTTCGCAAGTGATAACAGCAAAATAAACATTTTCTTTACCTGTTTTCAATAATTTTTTCAAAATATAAAAAATTTGTAAGGAGTGAGTAAATGCGAGAGCAAAAAAAAACCATTGAAAGCAAAGTGTAAAGCTTCTTCTTCCATCGTTATTTTTGAATGAAGAACATTTCCCGATAACTAAGTGTTCTTGTTTTCAGTGTTGAGTATTGATCCGACCTAATCTATCCTCACTTAAACGTTAACCTGTCTATTCTTGTCCACACCTTAATAGTTATTGCAAGCATTAACTTATCTGTTTTTGCCTCACTACTAAGTATTAATGTATATTTTCTTTATTGTTAAGTATTAACCTGTATGTTATTGTTCTCATTGTTGATATTAACCTGTCTGTTATTGTTCTCATTGTTGATATTAACCTGTCTGTTATTGTTCTCATTGTTGATATTAACCTGTCTGTTATTGTTCTCATTGTTAATATTAACATGTTTGTTATTGTTTTCATTGTTGATATTAACATGTTTGTTATTGTTTTCATTGTTGATATTAACATGTCTGTTCTTGCACTCATTGTGGATATTAAATTGTCTGTTGTTGCTCTCATTGTTGAATTAATCTGTTATTATTCTCATTTTTGAATTAACATGTTTGTTATTATTCTCATTGTTGATATTAATCTGTTTGTTATTCTCATTGTTGATATTAATCTGTTTGTTATTATTCTCATTGTTGATATTAATCTGTTTGTTATTATTCTCATTGTTGATATTAATCTGTTTGTTATTATTCTCATTGTTGATATTAATCTGTTTGTTATTATTCTCATTGTTGATATTAATCTGTTTGTTATTATTCTCATTGTTGATATTAACATGTTTGTTATTGGTCTCATTGTTGATATTAACATGTTTGTTATTGTTCCCATTGTTGATATTAACATGTTTGTTATTGTTCCCATTGTTGATATTAACATGTTTGTTATTGTTCCCATTGTTAAAAATTAACCTATTACTGTCCTCATTGCTGAGTATTAACCTGGCTGTTATTGTTCTCATTGTTGATATTAACCTGTATGTTATTATTCTCATTGTTGAATTAACATGTTTGTTATTGTTCTCATTGTTGATATTAACATGTTTGTTATTGTTCCCATTGTTAAAAATTAACCTATTACTGTCCTCATTGCTGAGTATTAACTTGTCCTTTTCCTCACTGTTGAGTATAAACTCGACTGTTATTGTCCTTATTTTTGTGTTTTAACCTATCTGTTATTATCCTCGTTGTTGTCTGTTTTTGTCCTGTTTGTTTAGTATTATTAATTTTATCTATTCTTTTTGTCATTGCTGAATATTTTGTTTTTGTCCTTATTATGAATACTAATCTTTATGTTTTTACTTAGTGTACTAATATTTCTCCAGTAACTGCTATAAACTTTCAGAATTGAGCTGAATATGATCATTTTGATTTTTAATTGCACACCATAATAATCAATGAACATATTTAAAATGAATAATTATTGTATATACTGTGGTGATATAGTATCTTGAAACAGCAACAAAGTTATTGTAACTTTTGATGTTTATTGTATTGTGAAAAACTCTCCTGTTTTTTATGTTGATAGCAAAGTATTACAATAACTGTATTCAAAGTAATGTATCCTCTGTTTTAAGCAAATTTTTATGATATGGTTTAATAGTGATACTTTGTTGAAGTTAATATTAATAATTCTCTAATTACTAACACTGAAAAATTCCTTTCTTTATCATGCAGGTTTTGCTACCTTTGGTTAATCGTCCTTTGTTGGACTACACGTTGGAATTCTTGAGTATAAATGGTATTCAGGAAACCTTTATATTTTGCTGTAGCCATGCCCAGCAAATCAAAGATTATATTTCGTAAGCTTTTTTTTTTCACTACAAACCAATTTGTATTTCATTTTATTAGATTTAAGCAATGAGATTTCAATTTGTAGTTAACTTTTTGTACAGAAGGCTTTTAGGAGTTTTCTGAAAGTTATATTAAAAGCATGTACAGCTGCTCTCTCATCCATAAACAGAACTTATTTGTAGCTCCCTCATCCATAAACACAATTTATTTCAATGGTTCCCACATAAAAAAAAACAGAATTTATTTACAATGGTTTGCTCATCCATAACCAGAATTTATTTATAGTGGTTCCCTCATCCAATAAACCAGACTTTATTTATAGTGGTTCCTTCATTCAACAAACCAGACTTTATTTATAGTGGTTCCTTCATTCAACAAACCAGACTTTATTTATAGTGGTTCCTTCATCCAAAAAACCAGAATTTATTTATGATGTTTCCCTCATCCATAACCAGAATTTATTTATAATGTTTCCCTCATCCAACAAACCAGACTTTATTTATAATGTTTCCCTCATCCAACAAACCAGACTTTATTTATAATGTTTCCCTCATCCAACAAACCATTTTCAGTCATTATGCCTACTTTTGTTACATATTGTGTATCAAATAGTTACTTTTCGATGTAATGGTTTAAACTCAAAAAGGATAGATGGACAAATTAACCCTATCTCTTCGGGTCTTCCTATGGTCACAGGTCAAATGCCATGTCATCACGTTTGTAGACTCGCATTCAAAATTTTATTGAACTACTATTTTATGAATGTATATCAATAAGTTTGGTATCAAACTGTAAATTATAATTCAAATTTTAGTATGATCCTTTAGTTAATTTCTTAATTTAAATGTAAATATTAAGAAAGAAATCCTAAATATTGATTTATGTGTGTCACGTGGTATGTTGAATGCAGCATTGGTTCAAGTTAGATGTTTGTGATGTCCAAATACAAAGTCTATAGTTCCTTACAAATTAGGAACTCAAATTACTGATATTGACAAGCTAGAATATAAAATAAGAACCTCCTATCTTTTCTATTTGATGAGATATTGCTCATGTACTGAATCAAACACAGTGGCCCTGTCCACCTCTTTTGGAAACACTCCCTTATGTACAAGTACTTCTGTCTCAGACATGTGAATAATCAATCGAAAGCTCAGAATGGCCCCTAGTTGCTTTCTCAGCTATTTTGAAGTATTATGACATCAACTCATGCTCTCTAACCAAGATTTTAAGATGGTAACTTGAGCCTTTAGTCTGCTTGAAATTTTGTATTTTTATAGACTCAAATACAGCTTAGTTACTAGTGGAATTCTATGGTATTGATATAGTAATTTATGATTTTTTGGTTATTTCAAATGTATATATAAAACCTAAAATAATGTATTATAACTGAAATGTGACTGTATTTTACAAAATACTAGTCCACTAAAACACAGCCAAGACAGGTCACTTGGTAAAGGCCAGTTTTATAATTTTGGATACGCTAACATGAGTGCATGTGTGCGTGTCATTGCAATATTGTTAGCCGGGCAAAGCTGAAAGATCAATAAAATAAATGTATAAAGTTATGAAATTTAAGCTATTTAGATGAAACACTTTTGTTTTCCTGTTATAATTTGTAGCCATTCTTGAATGAAGGAAACATAATTTATATTTTTCCTAATTTTTTAGTGAGGTTACGAAGTCGGTCAAATCAAACCAACTCATACAGAGATACAGTAATGAAAATAACAAAATATAGTTTTTTTCTAAAAAACAAATTTGATAATTATCTGGAGATTATAAAGATTTTCCATGTGAAATTTGAAAATCTTCTAATGCATAAAAGTATTTTTAATCTTAAAATCAAAATTACTTTACATGTTGGATTATCAACATTCTGAAAGAAAAGAACTTATGAGAAAATCTTTATTTAAAAAATCTTAATACTTAGTTTAAAAACCTGATATTTTGTGTACAAAAGTCTTGTAATGTTTACCAATAACCTGCAAAATTTTGTAAAGGTATGCATATATTATCAGACATCATAGTATAATAACTCTCAAGTATACTTTTGTGTTTATGAGCTGAGTGGATTCCACCCAGCCCATAATGGAAGGGTTAAGAGGAGTGTGAAAATAATACATCTGCAGTTTCATAATTTTTATCATAAATTTTAGGCTTACTTGCTTCTAATGCTTTTTTTATAAAGGGAAGTAAGTAGATGACTGTTTTCTTGTTTAAAGTTACCAAACACTATACATGTATATCTATCAGAACTGGAAATGAAGATGCTCAGACACAAATACCATAATAGGTTGTAATGAACTGAGTATTTTAGAAGAGACAACCACTGTTTCTTATATGTGTTCATTTTCCTGATTCGTTATTGTAGAAAAGGACATGAATTTGGTGTTTTCTTTTTTTATGCTTTAAGTCACTTGTTGTTTATATTAGCGGTATTTATATTAATCATATAAATACCAACAATTCAAACTTATTAGTCCCAAAGAGTGTTCCTTGTCTTCAAATGCTGATAATACTTGTGCATTTTTTGTAAATGTTTACTCATTCTTGATTACAGGAAATCCAGTTGGTCCAATCCAGACTCCCATATGTCTGTCACTACGATCGTTTCAGAAAGTTTTCTTTCTATGGGAGATGTACTACGAGAACTGGATAGCAAAGCCCTCATAAGATCTGATTTTATCTTGCTTAGTGGTGACACTGTATCTCAGATTCCAGTGAGGGACATCCTGCTAAAGCACAAGTATGTCTCCACAAAATTTCTGAGCCTTTATCTCTGTTTAAAAAATTATTTTCATAATGGACAGACTATTTCTTAATTATTTAGCTTAGTTTTAGCATTTAATTCTACTTTCTTCCAATCATACATCCAATTCCAAAAGCATTTCATTTTGCTTCTATTGCTGCAAGTATATTTAATATGGTAAGTATTATATACTATCTTTTTTGTTCGTTTTTGAGTCTTTTAACAGTCTTAAATATTGTCCAAGTTTTCTAAATAGTTTTGCTATTTATTCAGAAATACTGGGGAAGTAAAGTATACTAATAAACTACTTATTAAAAGTTTTTTAGGGGGTGGTAGTGGGGGGTTAAAATATCTCATTTGCAAAATTTTTGATTAATTTTGTTTTAAAGTTGTATCAATGCCAATTGGTCCAAAACCTCTATTAACGGTCACTGAATTTTAGATAAAACTTCTAAATATTTGAAATCACCCATCTCATAACTAATGTTAAGGGTCTGCCAAGCATCCATTGTGGTGGCATTCTGACTTCAAAATAATTTTGATATACACTACACTTTAAACTAGTCTTCTCAGTTCTAACCAAAAAGGTAATTTATCTTCATTAATTCCAAAAAAATTTATTTCCTTCCTTATTCACATTTATATACTTCTGAGCTACCATTACGTGTGTTTACCATGTTACCATAGAACATGGGTTTTAAAATATGTTAAAACATCCACAAAAATATCAATTAAAACAGATCATAAAGTAGATCCTGTCACTAAACCATCAATTTTGTGATAAACTAATTCTTTATTAGAAGCTGATGTGAGTTTTTCACTATCACATAATTCTCTTAATAATACATCCAAAGTTTTACCAATGGGCTCATTTGTAAATGATAAAACAACAGCTAAAGACACAAGCAGGTCATTATTTTCCACAAGACTCTCCTCACAGGTAACAGAGTTTTAACTTTATATTTATGGGTATTTAAATGAGTCAGTTGCTTCACTAATAAAGAAACTGAAAGATGCTTGGGTGAGACTTGACTACTCACAGTAGGTCTATACGAAACATTAGTTTCCTGAACTTTTAGTAATGCATTATTTCTAGATTCATAACATTTCCTAGGAATACAATATCAGTTAAAATTTAGCATTTTTAAGAGGAATTTTGACTTTATTTAAAATAATATCAGAAAAATCTTTTTTTCAGTTCTTTAGAGATTTTGTCTTTTAGTTAATCAGTAATACCGTCTTTGCAATATATTGTATCAATCAGTGCAATCTAATTGCCTTTGTTATTATTTCAAACTCTTCTTAAAAATGTAATTTTTTTCTGGTTTTGAAGCTTGTTAAACCTGTGCATAGCAAGTTTACTAAACTTTTAGAACTAACCTTGTGACAAGCATCTGAATAAGATTAAATAAACTTTGCTGATAAATTTGAATAAACTTCCTAGTAAGCCTAAAAACATGTCTGGTAATTTAGCTTATTTAAATTGCCTAATATACAAAAATACCCTATAATAAATAAGGTTGCTTATTAAGGTAAAATAAAGTATTCCTAATAAGCTCATTTATTAATAGTTAGTAAGCACAATGATTGGCTGGAAAATTATTGTTCAAGTATTTTCTGTTCAATATTCATACATCACATAACATCAGTAAATTGAATTTGTTTATCCTATACAATGTTTATTAAAATCAGTAAATTCAAACTAATATTAATAAAAAAAATAGTATTGGAAAATGTAAATTTTTGGCTGAACCATTTCCAGAAAACAGCAACAAAAAGACAAGGGTATGGTGATGACCTTGGTTTTCAAGAAAGCCCTGCCAAAACACAAGACTAGATGTTTGGAAGATGAGTGTGTAGTAGCAGTAGAACCAGAAACTGAGAGGATACTACATTATCAGAAAGTTGGACATAAAAAAAAGATTGAATTTCCACTGGTAAATTATAGATAATGGAACTCATTAAATTATGTTGTTGTTTTTTCTATTTATAAATGTGACCAACTTAAACATCGGAGAGTGTGTGAAAAAACATACGGTTTGGAAATATAGATTTTAGATAGACATTTCATGTATTATTCTTTTAGTTATTGAAAGACTGTATTAGCACACTGTAACAATACTATCTTTATTAAGAGACATGCAGCATATTCTTTTTAGAGCCCCCTAACAACTTATCTAACTTTCTTTGAAAAAGTAATTTTCAAACATTTTGCAAAGACAGGATCTACCATGTTTGAAAATAAGAATGTATATAGAACACAGGGGTCAGATAAAATAAGAATATATATATAGAGCATACAGAGGTTAGACAAATTAGGAACATATATAGCATACATGGGTCAGACAAAATAAGAATATATATATAGAGCATACAGAGGTTAGACAAATTAGGAACATATATAGCATACATGGGTCAGACAAAATAAGAA